AAAGGCAAATTAACGTTGTCTTGATCGACAGGGAGCTCGCGAAGAGCAGTAATGGTCCTGCTGGAGGCTTGATGTGCCACCGACTGAGTGCTTCGGGCGAGTGTTGTAGGGGACGTTGAACAGAGTCTTCCAATGACACTTCGCCTTGTCCTGTTACAATTACGATGGACGGGAGAATGTGCAGCAAGAGTCGGATGCCGCTGGCCAAGCAAGCGACGAATCGGACCCGAGATCGGACGGAGCCGCGGCCCTGAAAATGCAGAGTCTTAGTAACTTCCTAGTTACGAGCGCGGTGCCCTAGATCAATGAGTTTGAAATCAATCTCCTTAGCGGCTATGTAGACAAGTTACGCGCCATCAACACTTCGGTCTATGTGCTCGACAGCTTCGCCTCCGTCTGTGCATGAACGGCTGTTCAGCAAGTTCGCTTTTGGCATCGAATATAGAACAAGTAGGCTGTCTGGCGTTCGTTGTATATGAACTGCATCACGCCTGAGGTCCCGAGATCCCTGAACAAGAGTGCCTGAGCGCACGAGCTACACCGGCCGTGCCTGGTACATACCGCAATTTCTGGCTAATACCGGGTCTTACTTTGACGTGCGCCGCTCGCTGCCACGTCGGCCGTGTGCAGCCAAATGTGGGAAAAGAAGTCACCCACGACCCGCACTGACAGAGACCGCATGAGGTTGTTTTGCCGTCATGGGCGCGACTCCGAAGTTGCAACGGTACGGCGCATGCTAAAATTGCTCGAGTTGAACTTCAGAGATGTGAGAAGAATTGCTTCGAAACAAGAAGATCAATCAGAATATCAGACAGGCGGCTTGACATGCGACGACGGAGAGTGTCGTACATTGACCGGCCCGGGACGTGCTGCCCACTGGCTCAGAGTTAGCAGACATCGGGGAGTGTATGAGAGCTTAGGTGACTCATCCGATACCAACAAAAAACGAAGCGGATATATATAGACGCCGAAGATCTGAGAGAGAAGAACAGGCAGGCACAGGTCAGAAAGTGTCCTACTTGTAGACACTACATATACGCTAGTAACACAGAAAAGTCAGAATTTTTGGAAGGGTTCAGAGTAGAAATAGTTACCAGTGGAAGCCGAGCGCTGAGATCTTGTCAAGACCTGACTACGACTACTCCATAATCCACTGCCGCACAACTTCCCGACTGCCCAGGTCTGGCTATGGAATCACCGAAAGCAAATGCTACAAGTCTCGCCGCCTCCAATAGAGAATGCGGCTCGGAACTTGGCCAGCGAAACATTCGGCAGCAGCTGCCAACTGCGGCGCTGCATCACGTATACGCCGAGACAGCGTCTTCTTGATGTCTCCAGAGATGCGTGATATCCTTGTGCTCGTGCAAGACCGCGACGACCTTGGGATTGATCGCCTAGTCAAAGACAACGCATGCTTCACCCGACTGCTTGTCATCACCCGCCTGCGATCTCCACACTGCGCGTAAAGATCGGCGTTGACAACCGCGAGCCAGTGTTTTCGGAGAGCTAGATGGAGGGCTCATGTGTGCAGCGAGATAGGCCCTGATCGTGATGGGCACTACCCAGCTCAAGCGCGACCCAGGGAGCTTCGAGTCGGAAGCGGGTTCTACGAGAGACTTAGGGGCGTCAGGACTTACATCATAAAGCTCTTTGTGAGCTGTCAATTTCTAGTCGCGAGTGCTCCGATGGAAAAGCATCATACATATTCATGGAAAGGGCTTTCAACTTCTTTGTATTACGAGTAAACATCCTAGAATCTATAAAGTCGTCAGAAACAGACTAGTAAACGTCTCGGGGCAGACCCGTGTCACTGACATATATTAAGACAATGTGTTGCGACTCAAGAGAATGCTAGTGGTGCATAGACCACACAGACAGTACTGTTCGCGATATTGCGTACACGACGTTGAGACGGGAGAATGAGCGGTCAGAACAAAGGCGCCTTGGTGGTAACGACCAAGAATTGGCACATGCCCAAATTTGGATATCACATTATTACGTAATTAATTTACCCTGCGGAGCGCCAATAGGATTTTGCTGCTACACGCTGAACATCTTCAAGTTCACACTGGTGCAAGCACACCAACACATTTTCAAAAGTAAGCAGCAAGGCTCTCAAATATGAGAGATAAATGTATTTTGAATTGAAACCCTCAAGCCGAGCGCGATAATGCCGCGAACTTCAAGTAGCACCCACAAAGATCTAGCTCAATTCCACAGTCATATTCCTTAAAAGATAGTGTCTGCCCAAGCACCACCGTAGAACACTGAGAAAGTGCGGATGTTAAGGCGGTATTACGAGGAAATGAGACGAGGGACGTACAGAAGTCTAGCGTAGACTTAACCTGAAGGTCAGAGCCGGGAACACATGTCTGAACACCGCGTCAGTATCTGATAGCTGTAACAAAATCCCAGAAAAAATAGCGTACGGTGTTCGGGGCCTGACCACCGTTAGAATTGATCCTCCACACCTGGTCCGCCAGCTGTCCAGCCTTCGTCCCGTTGATCACAAGTACAGGCTCCACAAGCCAGTTCGAGTTGACCGAAGGGTCGTTCGGAGCGGGGACATTGGCCGACTCGCCGGCGACCAAGTACGCATTCGCCTTGTTGGTGTCGTTCTCCATCCGCTCGGACTGGCTGAAGTCCCACTTGGCATAGATATTGCCGCTCGTCGCGTTGACTGGGTCTGAGATCCAGTAGTGGATACCGTACCCGACACCCGGGTTGACTTTCTCAGTGAGAGCGACGATGTCTGCAGCGGTCACGGTGGGCGGGGCGGCATCCCAGAGTGCGGCGATGAACGACGTGAACGGCTGGTGGTGATCCAGCGGGAGGCAGGAGATGTCGTATAGGTAGGTGATTGCGCCGCTGCCACTGTACAACGGGCTATGTCAGCCGAAACTCAGGAGAGGTCGAGATAAAATTGGACGTACGCCCAGGTGCCGTCATCTCCGCAGGTGTAGTTCTGAGTGCCGACGGACAGCGCAGTGTAGGTCGGGTACGTCGTCAATGGCTGGGGCGGGAAAAGCTCGCCGCCGTTGTCGTTGATATTGGCGGGTATCACGCTCTCGACCAAGAACGGCGTGGTAGAGCAGATGGATCCGCCGGTGGGACGGTTGGCAGGGGGACTTTGAGCCGTCGCCTCGGGGGCGAAGTGAGCGACGGCGAGGAGCGAGAGGGCAGAGAGCAGCTTGGCGAAGGCGTACATGGCTGAGTCTGCTGTCGGGATGTTGCTGAGGAGAGGATGTCCAGAGCACTGGAGAATGTTGACGACTTCGTCATAGTTTTTATACCACAGATATCAACTGTGAATGTGCAGCCAGTCTTGAACAACTTCAGACAACCTCAGAGTCCAGCTCACGAACTTGGACAATGGCTCATTCCAGCTCGCGCACACATGTACTGCCGGTCCGTTGCAGTAGTGTATCTGGAAGAAGCTGCGGGGACAGGTAGGCCAGGCACATGACGGAAGAGAAACGCGCCCTCCGACAGTACGCAAAGGGTGCGGCTGCCCACGTTCTATCTGTTGTCCGATCATGGCCCGTTGAATAGCCAAGCATGGCCATCATCCCGCGAACTTCCGAGAACACCGCACTACGTTATGCACCTGGTATTGAATACTGTTCTCGCACCCTGAAGGGGGAAAAGGACTCAACTGGCACAAAATAAGCTCGGAGTCGTTGTGCGTTAACAGCAGCGGGCGCCCTCGACTGGTGCATAATGTTAGGATTGGTCGATCCTTTTGCCACGATGCGCCTGACAGCATGATATTAGCGTGCGAGCTCACTAACTTTCATGGGTCAGTGTAAATACACGTGCGCATAAACGCCGGGGGTTGAAACACTCTTGCCATCATTCATAAGGGCGGCGGGATTTGCCTCGGGCGCCGCAGCGCCAGACTCAGATGCCCTTCGCTTAGCGGCGGAGTCACCTGCCACCGCCAGGTCGCTCGCCCGCTGTCGCGCGCGACGGCGATGCCGCCGTCTGCCGAGTTCGGCCATCGTCCCTTCTGCATTTTCAAAGCGTAATTTGTTCCATAAACCCGCTAGAAGCAAGAACTGAAAACTATTGCAGATCATTACGTGGGTAAGGCGGGCGGCCTGCCGTACGGCGTGCTTCCGACTGCAGCTAGAGCATAGTTCTGGACCCAAAGACCGCCAGCAACATACCATCCCGTATGCCCAGTTAGCGCCGCGGCCTGACAATGACGGGCAGAGAGATTGGTATCGGGGTGATTGCCATGGAACCTGAGAAGAGTGATGCTGGGCTGTACCTGGGGCTTGGTGTACTAACTGCGCAGTTGGAAAGAGTCCTTTACACGACGCCTGCAGACGGTTCTTTGTAACGATAACTCGCGTTATGAGCCGTAAGGAGTACCGTAGTTGTAAGTATGCGCTGCCGGAGTGAATGGGAGAACGTGCGAATAAGAGAAGGTCGCCGACCCGCGGGCGACCAATCGGACCCGAGACGAATCGGCGACCCCGCGCTGCAGACGTGGGGTTAACATCTCAGCAGGTCCGCAGCTCGGGCAACGTCCGAAGCACGGGCACGGCATCACTTCAACATCTTCATATGAACTCCGCTTATTGCACTCTTTCGCAAGTAGGCCAGCCTACACAATATATGCAGCATAGTCATGGCGGCCGCCGTGCACAGCATGGAAAGAAAGCGGCGACTGCTACCTCAAGTCTCCGATTCGCACGATGGGCTCACCTAGCCGAGAGAGTACAGTACCACATCAGTGCTGAGCGGTAACCCGGATTTCTGCACAATAGTCCGCATACGAGGGCCGAGTCCCCGAGATTCCCGACCAACGCCGTTTGAACACATACTATGCCGGTCAGGCCTGGTTCGTACCGCGACTTAGTGCCACTCTACCGCTCGCAGTCAGCAGAGGCTGAAGAGGGCGGGAAGTCATGGCCCACGAACGCGCATTTACGACTGACATCGGCTTCCAAAGAAGCTTAGCGTTGAAGTAGGCCAACCTCTGGCCGCGTTTCGTGCATGAGAGAAATTGTCAGGCTGCGGTTATACGGCGCGAGCGGAATTTGTTCAGGCTTCATCTTGAAGGGTATCAACATTTACCGCCATAGATGGAAGTACTAAATTAGCAGCTTGACCCGGCACAATGTAAACATGCACGTATGCTGTCCAGTGCGAATCGGGATGTATTACGCTGCCAAAGAATCCCAACTTGGAAGTACCAGGCGGTGAGCGAGGACAGCTGGCAAGGTAAATTATCAGCTGGTGGCGGGAAGTAAAACGGTGATCACATTGTACGAAGAGATGAGTCAGATTGAGAAGGAAGAGGGCAGAAGAGACGAAGAACGAGGCAGGTTGTTAGTGTCCATTCGCGGGTAGAGCAGAGGCAGGCTAGTATTGCGAAAAGTGACCTGGAGGCTCCTCTTAGCATAAGTACTTACTGACGACTTCATCGCTCGCCGCGCCTTAACTTCCCGATCGTTGAGGTGGGGGCATGAGATTACCGATACAGGCCAACATCACAATACCCTTTGCCTCTTGTCGGCGAATGCTGTGCGGGAGTTAGAGGTCGGGCCCCTCGACAGCAGCTTCAGCACTGAGCGACGCAAATTCAGAGGCAGCGTCTCCTCAAAGTCTTCGTAGCGCTTGATAAATACGCTGCGCTGTTTATAAGCATGCACGATCGTGCCATTCTAAGACATATCGCGTAGTCAGAGCCAACGTATGAGACCTAGATAGATGCCGCTGAACTCGAGAATTAGCACAGAGAGCATATACTGCAGAAAACTTCGGGGCGATCAGGTCTGAGCGTACAAGCCATATACCGGGACTCACGTTGCAGAATTCTTCGCAGTACAATTGAACTTCCTCTTTGACGTCGTAAGATCGATCAAAGAAGTGTTGTTATAAGCGAGCCGCCGCATTCTAAGCGCGAGC